TCATGTTTTGAATGTTCCTTCTGTAGAGGGCCGTGACGGACTTAAAACGACCCCCGTTTCAGGCGCTCGTTTTCTGGGCGTTGCCTGGCCCTCTCGGAAGCCTTTCCGGGAGCATCCCAAGCCGGCTGTGGGGAGCCTCTCCCGACCCTCCTGGGCTCATGTTGCCGGTCATTACGGCCACTTGGGGCCATTCTGGATGCCTCTCCACCTTCGTCTGGGTCCAAAGCACTCGCAGGCCCCGATGAGAAAAGCTGGCAAAACGTATAAGATCCTGACGATTCCAGCCGTCTCGGGCTTCTCCTTGAGCCTCTCCCAGAGCTCCCGTGCATCTCCCTGGGCCCCTACTCACATCTTGGAAACTGAGTCGCGATGTCTTCGCTTCCTCTCCCGTTTCCCTCGCTCACGCAACTCCGCTGCACTCGACCCATCCTGGTCATTTGGGGGGCCCCTCTCGGGGCCCCCCGGCGCCCGTTCTGAGCCGAGCCCGACGGCTGTTGAAGTTTCTCTGGCCTCTGTGCGGCCGTCCTGGCGGCTTGCCGGGACGCTTCTCGGATTGCAGGACCAGGTTCTCGATAATTGCTCGCGCCTTATTGGGCCGCCTTCGCCGAAATGACACCCAGTGCTACTTAGGTGGCCCACTTCTTTCTACAGAGAGCCTGGCCACATCTGGACGCGGGATTCACGGCTGCCCACATCTGCATCAAAGCGACCGCGCTCCAAAAACAGTGGGGCGGCGGTGTCTGCCCCCTCGGGGGCTTCCAATTACATAAAGACACTGGGTCATCTCTGGGCAGCGAGCGCGAGGGCAAGGTCAAGGAAAAGGGAGATGGAGAGCGAGCAATTGGGGGAGGAGGATGAGGAGGAGGAGGCGGTGGAGGGGGAGGGGAATGAGGGGGAGAGAGCAAGCTAGGCGCGCTCGAGCCATGTCTGACGCCTTACCCCTCCCTCTCATCCCTTCCCATTGCGCTGATGTGTTCGCCATCCGCGGACGCGTGTCATAGCCGACCTGGAGCTCCACAAAAGACCCGATTGTGTTATGCGCAGTCGGAGAAGGGAAACTTGTGGGACCTGTGCGAGGGGGACCTCTTTGGCCTGTGGAGCCTGTGAGACCTGCGCCACCTGTGGGACCCGTGGGACCTGTGGAACCTGTGAAACTTGTGGTAACTGTGGGACCTGCCAGACCTGCGGGACCTGTGGGATCGGCGGGACCTGCGGGACCTGTGAGACCCGGGAGACCTCTGTGGGACCTCTGAAACATGCGACACCTCTGGGACCCGTGGGATCTGCGGGACCTGTCGGACCTGTGGGACCTGTGGGGCATGAGAGACCTGCCGCACATGTGGGACTTGTGGGACCTGTGGAACTTCTCAGACTGGTTGTACCTGTGGGACCTGTGGGACGACCAGAAAAATCCACTTATGTAGTATGTACATAGGGAGAAAGAAGGGAAGAGAGAGAGAGAGAGAGAGACAGAGACAGAGAGAGAGAGAGATTAAATGACAACAATCATTGAGGGAGAAGGGGACCACCAAGATGAGTCCGAGCCACACATCACATCCCATTGAATATTTGTCAATCGGCCGACTGGGATTTCCTAGAGGGTCTTGATTCCCACATTGCAGCCGCGGGAGTCGACAAATCGTCTGCTGCGCAATCGGAAGGAGGAGAAGAAGGCGGCGGATGAGCAGGATAAGAGGAAACAAACGGAAGAGAGTAACCCCAGCAGGAGCAGGCAGAAGAAGGAGAAGCAGAAGGACTGGATGATCAGGGGAAGGCGGAGGCGAGGAAAAATGGCGGAGGCAAGGACGAAGGAGTCGGATCCAATGCCCGCGCTGGGGCGAGAGCGCCATCCTGAGCGACGGGAGCACGGGTACCGATCCAGAAATTCGGCCCACGGCGCAGCAAGGGCATCAGTCCTGAAGGGAGGACGACGCTCCGATTGCAAAGCAGCACGTCGAAAAGACCAAGCAGTGGATGACTGTATGCAGCAACCGCAAAATTTCGGGAGAAGCGGCGCCACCGCTGAGCACTGCCAGGGGGAGAAAAGAACAGCGCTCACAACGAGAGCTTGCAAAGGGAGGGAGTAGGGCGAGGATGAGGGAGAGGTCCATGAAAAGGGGGTCGATCCTCATCAAAACGTGCGCCATGACCAACGTTTGCTTGTCCACAGAAACCCTTCAAGACGATGCAGGCAGTGCAGGGCTGACACGGGCTGCGCGATATCGGTGGAGCTCATCGGGGCAAGCACACATTCGGCCCACTGTTGTGGCCGCAGCGCCAAGAGGGTCGTCGCGTTCAAAGCTACCGCGGGCTGCGCGGTGGAGAACTGATCATATCCTAATGGCTCTGGGCCGGGGGGGGGGGGAGGCGGAACGGCCGCGGAGGGAGGAAGAGAAGAGGAGGCCAACTCGGACGGTGTACGTCTTCCGGGGCGACGCTGGCGGACTCAGACCCTCGTCGAGAGTCGTGCAAGGTGGGCTGCACCCGATCGGGGGGGGGGCACGAAGTGAAGCTGCAGCCGACGGAGACGTATTGGGCAACACACAGGTCCTCATGATCATCGAGGTGAGGAGCAGCAGCGGGAACCAGTGTGGACGACTTGCCACAAGAAACGATGAACAAAGAACGAAGCCCGTTTCGGATTCCGAAGAGCTGCATACCGAACCTGAATGAGTATCGAAGTAACCTTCAGCCCCGTCCGAAACCAAAGTGCTCCTGATTGCAGTGCTTCGACTGCAGCGCCACTAACCCGATGCGGCCCCGATCAGGTTAGTTTTTCCCGGAAAGGGCGCAGGCCCAGGGTTCTCTTTTAGTATGTAAACCTGTACCCGGTGTCTCAACTGAGGTGGGCCGGCGGATTCATTTACCCTGATATATATAATATATATATATATAATATATATATATATATTATATATATCGAAGTCGAGGTGGGCCGGCGGATTAAAATTTGAAGATGTCTCAGGCGAAACGCTTGTTTTTGAAATCCCGATCGGTAAATCACAGGGTGCGGGCCACTCTTTCGTGTGTTGAGGATGTCTCGAGCGAAACGCTTGCTTCGCAGAGTTACCGAGGATGTCTCGAGCGAATCGCTTGTTTTGTAGAACTTGAGGGATCTGGGCGCCCCAGACATTTGCCTTCTCCAGGTGCACGAGCCCGTGTGTGTTTACGTATGTGCCTGTAGATTTGCCCTCTCCAGGTGCACGAATCCATGTGCTTTTACGTATGTGCGTATAGATGTGATATCTCCAGGGGCGCGAATCCGTGTGTGTTTACGTATGTGCCTACAGATTTGCCTTATGGGGCGCGATGCACACATCGCACCGTGCGCCCACGTCACCCCAGCATTAAACCACCCCAGCACGACCCCACCCCAGCAAGACCATCACCCAGCACGACCACACCCCAGCACGACCTCACCACAGCACGACCACACCCCAGCACGACCACGCCCCAGCACGACCACGCCCCAGCACGACCACGCCCCAGCATGACGACGCCCCAGCACGACCACCCCCCAGCACGACTACCCCCCCAGCAAGGCCACCCCCCAGCACGACCACCCCCCAGCACGACCACACCCCAGCACGACCACTCCCCAGCACGACCACACCGCCTTGGTTGAGAGGTTGCCTGTCGTCGTGGAATGTTTCGTGGGGTGTCTCGTGGACTGTTTCGCGGGGTGTCTCGTGGAATGTTTCCAGGAAACGTTGAAAACGGTCGCCCGTGTCTCGTGGAATGTTTCGCGGGGTGTCTCGTGGAAATGCCCGTCGCCCAATACGGTGTCGTGAAAACGTGTCCATGCATGCGGTTCTATATCCCTTTCCGGGTTAGTGGGTCCATCATGTTCCCGACACTATGACTGCGTTATGGGTTCTGGCTCTTACTTCTGTATCGGGGGCGGCCAAGATGGGGGCGTCCAAGACGGGGGGGGGGGGGCACAAATCATGGCCGGCGGCATGTGCGCAGCCCAGGGGGGAGCCAGGGACGGGATGAAGAAGAGGAAGAGGCGGAGGAGGAAGAAGAAGAGGAAGAGGCGGAGGAGGAGCAAGAGGAGGAGGGATGAGGACGAACCCGAACTTCGGTAACCTCATGAGCCGGTGGGCCTGCCGGGCTTTCGCCCACGCGGGCAGCCGTGGACGGCTCGCGGGGTCCCCGTGCGCTGGGTGGGTCTGCCGAGGTCTCGCCTCGGGCGGGCGAGGGCGCGGGAGCCTCGCGGGCAGCCCCGTGCGCCGGGTGGGCGTGCCGGGGGTCTCGCCCGGCGGGTGGCCGTGGACGCCTCGTGGGCTCCCCGTGCGCCCGGTGGGCGTGCCGAGGTTTCGCCTGGTGAGCTCACGCCACGGAGGCTTACTCCGCACAGCTGTCGCCACGCAGCGGTCACCGCCTGGCTCACACCGCGCAGATTGCACCACGTGCGTCGTGCAGCTTGCACAGCATAGCTGACGCCACGTATGACAATCATCACACATGACGCCACAGAACTAAGACCATATAGCTCGCACCACATGGTTTGCACCTGACACCTTACACTACATGGCTTACACCACATAGCTTGTACCACAGAGCGTACACTGGATAGCACACGAGACAATTGCACCACCTAGATTGCATCACATGGTTTACATACTGTTATACCACATAGCTCATACCACATACAGTGCCCCGCGTAGCTTGCACAGCCAAAATGTCATGACTCACTTTGGGCGGTCCAGGCTGGCAAACGCTCACTTGAGGCAACTAGAAAGCTGGCCGAAGGCATGCTGCACAAAAGTCCTCTCCAGGAGCTTGCTTCCCAGTTGTTCAGCTCTCGAGCGCAAAAGCACATATTTGCCCCCAGGGGTGGCACACAAAGGGAAGCACCTGTTCAAAACGCTGGCGTCAATCCTTTGCAGACCCCCACTTGAGAGAACCAGTCCCAAACGAAGAACTTGCAGGCCACGACTCGTCTGGAATGATCCAGCTATCCTGGAGCGGTGAGAATGGCAGCCAATTTCAGCGTACGATTCGCTCGACACTCACGAGACACAATCGAGAGCACGCTGCCACTTTTCACCGGTCGCTAAGTCGGCAAACAGGCAGCACACGCACATGTAACACGAGGACAAACAGGAGCAGCGAGAGGATTAATACGCAGGCATATGCTGCGCATATCGGGCACCAAGGCTGCCTCCGATCGTCCGCACATGCGTCCACCTCTTTGGCCGCGCACGCATCCACCTCCTCGGCAAGTCCGCCGCTGTCGCCCTGGGCAGCAGGCAGAGTCGGCACAATTCACGACGGCGCGTCCAACACAACAGGAGCGACCCAGAAAGACTACTGCGACCGCATATATATATATATATATGTATATATATACACATATATACACCTACAGATAAATCGACAAAATACAGCTTGGCCCATGCCACAGGAGCGCCCGAAAAAGACTGCAAGAGCAGCTGGAATGGGGATTGCGAGAGAGATTGCGAGAGATATTGCGAGAAAGATTGTGAGCGAGATTGTGAGAGAGATTGCGAGAAAAACGGGGGCTATGACCAAGACTAGACGCCAAAACGTCGTATTGATCTTAGTCAGCGCCGATCTTGGCCAGCGTGAATTCGTGGATCATCCTCACGAATCGGCACTGCCGACGTGGACCCTGACCAAGACCGGCATCGACAAGATCCCGCGACATCTTGGTCATGGTCCCCGTGCTCCTTCCCTCGATGAAGACGTCGCGGCATGCTGCGGGGGGGGGGGCACCACGCAGCAGGGAAACCCACATGGCCGGGCGCACAAGAGGGACATCCGGAGGCCACGCGTTGGATCAGGCATGCGGAAGCCCGGCACACGCGGCCATAGGTAGAAGGCCCAAGCGCTAGAGAGACGTCTGGTCAGTGTACCCATCTCTCGCCCAGGCGGGCCGCGTGCGTCCAGCTTCCTGGTAACGCGAAGGGGCGCACGAGAGCACCTGCAAGCACAGAAAACGCGTGTTACACCAAGCGCGCTGCCTCTCTTTCAGTCGTCGGAATCACCCTCCCGGGACAAGGGTTATTTCGATCATCCCGAAGTTGGGAGCGGGGGTGGCGGATACGCGGTCGTACGGATACGATCCGCGAGCGGCATACGGGCATGCACGGGTCATATCCGTATCCGCGGGGTCGCGGCCTAGGGGCCCCGCCCAAGAAGCCGCAGATACGGGTATGTTGTTCGCCCACGAAGCCCTGGACCCCGTCTTTCTGCGGCATTCCTCGAGCCAGGTCGACCTGTGAGGGCCCCAGGGTCTGAACTCGTGCGGAAGCGCCCGACTCGAAAAAATGCAACGCCAGGATCTCAGGGTTGTCTCAACTCGCCATCCTTTGACAGAAGCATTCCTAAACAAGGAGGACAGGAGAGCCGAAAAAGCAGCGTCAACACTGGGTAAGGAATTGTTGAAATGGAGGAGGCGGGGGGGGAGGAGGAAGGAGGAGGAGAAGGAGGAGGAGGAGGAGGGAGGAGGAGGAGGAGGAGGAGGAAGAAGAAGAAGAAGAAGACGAGGAAGGAGGAAGAGGGCGAGGAGGCGGGAGGAGGGAGGAGGAGGGAGACGAGGACGAGGGGGAGAGGAAAAGGATGAGGAGGATGAGGAGGAGGAGAGGAGAAGGAGGAGGAAAATTAGAAGGAGGAGGAGGGGAGGAGGAGGAGGGAGGAGGAGGAGAGGAGAGGAGGAGGGGAGGAGGAGGAGGAATGAGGGAAAGAGGGGGGAGGGAGAGAGGGAGGGATTGAGGAGGAACGAAAGGAAGAGGAGAAGGGAGCGAGGGAGGAGGGAGGATAACCAGGAGCCCCAAGGAGGCCCCGGGGCAGCGGCCGCGCCTGCGCGGCCCCAGCGCCCACTCCCAGCACAGCGCCGAGGAGCCGCGAACGCTCACTGGGCGCGGCCTCCGCGCACCACCCGCGGAGGTCCTGCCGGCCGCGGGGGAGAGGCCGCCACTCCCGGGGGAGAGGGGTCGGCGGCGCGCCCAGAGCGGGGGAGGAGGGGGAGGAGGGGCAAGAGGGGAGGAGGAGGGGGGGAAGAGGGGGAGGAGGAGAAGGGGAGGAGGAGGAGAGGAGGAGGAGGAGGAGGAGGAGGAGGGAGGGGAGGAGAAAGAGGAGGAGGGAAGGGGGGGAGGAGGAGGAGAGAGGAGGAGGAGGAGGAGGAGGAGGAGGAGGAGGAGGAGGAGGAGGAGGAGGAGGAGGAGGAGAGGAGGAGGAGGAGGAGGAGGAGGAGGAGGAGGAGGAGGAGGAGAGGGAGGAGGAGGAGGAGGAGGAGGAGGAGGAGGGAGGAGGGAGGAGGAGGAGGAGGAGAGAGGAGGAGAGGAGGAGGGGGAGGGGAGGAGAGGAGGAAGGAGGAGGAGGAGGAGGAGAGGAGGAGGAGGAGAGGAGGAGGAGGAGGAGGAGGAGGAGGAGGGAGGAGGAGGAGGAGGAGGAGGAGAGGAGGAGGAGGAGGAGGAGGAGGAGAGGAAGGAGGAGGAGAAAGAGAAGACGAAAAGGAGGAGGAGGAGGAGGAGGAGCAGCAGGAAGAGGAGGAAGAGGAGGAGCAGAGAGAGGAGGAGGAGAGGAGGAGAAGAGGAGGAGAAAGAAAGGAGGAAGGAGGAGGAGGAGGAGGAGGGGGGAGGAGGAGGAGAAGAGGAGGAGGGAGGGAGGAGGAGGAGGAGGGGGAGGAGGAGGAGGAGGAGGAGGAGGAGGAGGAGGAGGAGGAGGAGGAGGGAGGAGGAGGAGGAGAGGAGGAGGAGGAGGAGGAGGAGGAGGAAGAGGAGGAGGAGGAGGAGGAGGAGAAAGAGGATGAGGAGGAGGAGGAGGAGGAGGAGGAGGAGGAGAAAGAGGAGGAGGAGGTGCAGGGGAGAAGGGTGGAGGGAGAGGGGGAGCAGGAGGGGGAGGAGGAGGAGAAGGAGGAGGAGGAGGAGGAGGAGAAAGACGAGAAAGAGGAGAAATAGGAGGTGGCTGAGGAGGAAGAGGTTGAGGAGGAGGAGGAGGAGGAGGAGGAGGAGGAGCGACCGTACCAAGAAAGGACGAGACGAGGGCAGGCGGGCAAGACGCGAGAAGAGGGCAAGTGTCCACACGTCCGCTTGTCTCGTCTATGGCCGCATCGCGTGCAGTGCAGCAGCTAGGCACTCAGTGCCTGTAGTGTAAAGAAGCGCGGCGCGGGGCGCGGCGTGCGTAATGATACGCAGCTCGTTGTAAAAGTGATATGAAGGCGCTGTCCTGCGAACAGCTTCTGAAACTGTGTGCTCTGGGTTTGCGTGTTGCTCTGACGTCCCTTGGCCAATTCGCACGAGGGGGTCCGAGGAGAGAAAGGAACGGGGTAACGCGAGGAAGTGCAGAAGGCGGGGACAGGTGAGGTAGTGGCCGAGACGGTCTGGGCAAGCTTCGCACCCGAGCAGACACGTGCGGCGCGGTCCAAACGGGAATCGGTGGCTGGTCCACCACGCTCCCGCTAGCGTATTAAAGACAGCCCAGCGGATGGCTGGTGCTTTTGAAAGGTATTCTGAAAGCTCCTTCCAGCGGGTTGGCAGGGCTGGAGGGAGCACGACTTCTGGGAGAGCCGACGAGAGGCGGCGCGCTAGGGTCTCTGCTAACTTGTCGGGGTAGAGGGAGGAGTGGAGGACCGAAGCAAGGGTTCGCTGGATCCTATCACGGCGCGCTTCGTTGGTGGCAGCGGCGCGCTCATTTGCAGCAGCGCGCTGCGCCGCGCGCCAGATGGGCAGTGAGACGGCGTATGGCGGCTGACCGTCGGCGAGGTCGCGCCAGTATTCGACGATACCTGGACTCTTCCAAAACACAAGCGAAGACGTGGCCCGAATACGGGCCTGCCCCAAATCCGCCAGGGACAGTTCTGGATTGAGCTGGTCCTGGGCCAGGACGAGCGCGCGATACAGCGGCTTCCAGTCGGGAAGCGTGGCAGTGGCAGTGCGCCAGGCAGCTGCGAGTGAAAGCGTGGCCAGTGAGTTGGGGGAGGACGAGGGCGACCACGAGCGAGTACCGAGGAGGCCGACGAGGCGCCAGGAGTTGGGGGGCGCACGTAAAATATTGTGCAGCGCGCCGCGTTCATGCCGCAGAAACGCGGCAGGGAACGGGAAGTAATGCGTGAGATACGACAGCACAATTATAGCACATGTGTTATATAAATTGATGGCAACTGAGGGACCTGGCGCGCTCGCCGCAAGCTGCACCACCCGTAGCCAGTATTTACCAAATGCGGTCTTCCACGGGATGTCTAGAGTGACGGCGGGACCGATGAGTACCCCTAAATAGCGGGCGTACTCGGCGATCTGAATGCGTTGCCACTCTGGGACTAGAAATTTGAGCAAGCGCTGAGTGAGAGATTGCACGGCAGGTGAGAAGGCGGTCCAAAAGGGCACGATCACTGTCTTCTGAATCTGAAGTTCGAGTCCTGCGAGAGTGGCAATGGCCAGAAAAGGGGGAAGGAGGAAAGGGAGGGTCCCAAGGCGAGCGAGGACAAGGCCCAGATCATCTGCGCAGGCACCGAGCTTGCTAGATCCAGGAAGAAGGTTTAACATCTGGACGAGATGACGGATGGGGGCATCAAACGCAAGGGCCCAGATCGATCCTGAAAGAGGACAGCCCTGAAGCACCCCAGAACTGATTTCGAATATGTACTGAAGCTGGCCACCGACGCGGGCCCACGCCCCTGGAGAATGGTAAAGCGCACGAATGACATTGAGATACCCTGGGGGGGACTCCGTGAGCCACCAAAGAAGCAAACAGGAAATCCCATCCTAAGGATGGGAAGGCAGCTTTGATATTGAAACTGACTAAGATGGGAAGGGCATCTAGGGCAGCTGGGGAATGGCCTGCTCTACGGGCTTCAGATTCTAGCGTCAGAACGTGTTGTCCGAAATTACGGTCCTTTACGAACCCCTGCTGCGTGTCTACCGTTCTCTCTTTGACCATATCCACTAAGCCCATGTTCACGACGTGGGCAATCAGTTGGCGTCGCAGTTCTTTAGGGAGAGGGGGCGAGTGGCACCTGGAGCACGAAATACGGCGTATTGGTCCTGGGGCTCATCACCTTTTGGAAGAAACGCGAAGACGGAATCGTTGAACTGAAACGGGGCCAGGCCTGTTTCGAACATCTGCATCATGAGGTCATATAAGATCTGAGAGGCGCCTGGAGAGGTAGCCCATGCAGCATAAGGTATCTGGTCAGGGCCTGGGGCAGTGTGACGTACCTTACGTAGGGCTCTCTGAAAGTCCTGAAGAGCTGGAACCCGCAGGTCCGCGCAATCGAAGACGGGGAGGTGCTGGGCCAAGTACGACTGGACCGCGTTGGGGTCCACGATCTTGCTCGAGAAGATGGGCTGCCAGAACTTCTGAAGACCTCCGAAAATGCCCTCGGGTGAGCTGGTGGTGGGGAGGGCATTGGTGGGCGTCCCCTCTTTTGGCATCCTAAGTCCTGAAAGAACGAGGCGACGACGAAATGGGTTCCAGGCCTGCGCCCGGCGTGTGAGCTGCATCGCGGCCTTGCGGCTGCCGGCATGGTCCATCTGCATCTCGGCGTGGGACTGCAGCTGGCGCTTCGTGGCGATGGCGACGCGTCTGTCGTAGTCTGCGGTAACAGCTGCATCCATAAGCTTGATGTACTCGTCTCTGTTGATGAGCTCGGGCCCGTTGTCGGTTAGGCGAAGGTGAGCGCCGCCAGTGTCCGTCGCGGCCATGAGGAGTGCTGCCGTGTCTGAGTCTTTTCGCCAAACCGTCCGAGCAATGGCACGTAGTGTAGTCAGCCTCCCATGCTTCGCCCAGCGGCTTTGATCATGTAGGGTGGCTCGCTGTTGAAGATTACGAGTGAGGCGAGCCGCTTCTTTGATGATGAGCTTGTGTTGTTTCCAGGCTCCAGTTGGCGTGAGAGCTGCCGAGGCGATGTTGTCCTTCAGGAAGTTGAAGTGGCGCTGGTACGTGGGATCGTGGAAGATGAGCGGATCGGTGGCCTGTTCCTCCTTCTGCGCCACCGATGCGTTGACCAGCAGCAGGCGCAGGATCGCGTGGTCACTGAGGCCTATATCTGATAAAGCAGCGCCGTCTTTGTGGATCTTGAGGTGAGCGTCAACGTTCATGAGGTCGATGCCCGACAGCGACACGAAGATGCTGTCTATGGCAGTAGCCGCTTGTGCGTTGGCCGAGAAGTGCGTGGGCAGGTCGTGCGTAACTTCCGTGAGCGAAGCAAACAATTGACGCCAACGCGCTTGTTCGCGCTGATACGGTCCATCAGGTGTCATCGGCCGCCAACGTGTTGATGGATCCTTGAAGTTAAAGGAGGGGACCGCGCTGGTGTTGAAATCGCCCATGGCAATGAATAACCGCTGTTGTGGGTTCTGCGCTGCCCACTGTCGGGAAGCATGCCACGCTTCCGTCACTCTATCCATATCCGTAACCTGCAGGTCGTGATTGTGCACATTCATGATGAGCGTTTCGAAGCCCGTGGTGTGGTTGGCCACATGGAGGACAGCAACCCTCCCGCGTATTACTGGCCAAAGCGAGGTAGAGGTCGTCGTCATCGAAGGCGTCGGCACTAAGAAGGCGACGCCGCCCTTGCCGCGGTTGTGAGGGAAGCCGCTGAAGAAGACCTGATAGTCGTAGGGAAGTTTGCCAAGGTGTGATTCGAGATCGAGCTGTGTGCTGTGCACCTCTTGGAGAGCGATGAGCGACTGCGTGCGCATGAAGGGAACGAGCTGCCGTATATTTCCCCAGCGCTTGGCATCATCATGACAGAGTAGCCCGCGAGCGTTCCAACAGATGTAGCTGCCTGCCGTATCTGATGTAGTAGGTCGTGTACGTGTACGAGTAGTCCGAGACCGACGGTTGTTGAATGATGAGCTGGTGTCCGACGAGGATGAAGAAGCGCTGGTAGAAGACGACGACGAAGAAGCCGAAGATGAGCTGAAAGTTGAAACCAAGCCATTCTGAAT